ACCTGCCCTCACAGCTTTCCCAGGCACCCAGCGCCTCCAGGAACTGGCTGAGAAAAGACAGGGAATAAGCTCTGCCCCATACCAAACCACAGCTCTGTAAACCAGCCCATCAGGAGAGCTCGGAGCAGGGGACCCAGTGCAATCACCCGTTTTCCCTTATCTAGAGGCTAAAGTGTGACTATACTTTGCTCCCACAAAGGCTGGATCAGGGAAAGGGACCCTGGAGCAAATCACATGGGCTGGCTTGCTGGCAAGAGGGCGAGGCGACTCCCATCCTCCATCCTGTGCCTGCCGTCCCGGGAGACGGCCCTGTGCGCCTTGGGGAGAGGAAAAGGGAGGGGAGAGGATGGTGGCACCCAGAGGGTGTTGGTGACGACCACGGGTCCCCAGCCCTGCGCTCAGGCAGCCCCCAAGGGCGAAGGGCCGCCGGGCTGATGCTGCTCCATCCCCGGTCCTGCGGCTCCTCCCCGCGGCCGTCGGCTGCAGCAGCGGCTCCTCGGGCGGCGAGACAAGCGGCGGCGAACCCCGGCTCCCCTCGCAGCCCGGTCCCCGTCCCTGCGCTGCCCGGCCCCGGCTGACGGTGCTTCCTGCGGATCCCTCCCCTGAGCCTCCGGAACACGGAGAGCCCACCAGGACACACGGAAAACACCACCAGAGGCTCACTTCCTTAGCACGGATTCGGACTCAGCCCTGGGAAGGCTGTGTAGGATGATGTGCTGGTTTCAGCTAGGACAGTTTTCTTCACAGTGGCTAGTACAGAGCTGTGTTTTGGATAAGCCATGCCTGGCAAGCAGCTCTGCCTGCCAGGGTCGTGGCATAGTACTGACACCTGTTCACCCTGGCTAAAGTCCTCACCTGCATCTGATCAAGCACCCAGCTGCTTTCTCTCCATCTCTGCACAGACCAGCTCTGCCAGGGAGATGTCTGAAGATGAGGAGGGAATAGTAAGTGGAAAGTCACAGAATCACCGAGCAGCCTGGGTGTGGATCTGATTTCTCTGAGCCTGAGAGAATTACAGCCTGTCAGTGGCTGATCTGTTCCCAAGGGCTTTAGAGTGTCTCTTGCTCAAGGTCTATCTCTGTAAACAATTTCACTTTCTCAAAACAGTTCTGTACAGCTGTGGATATTGTGTTTTCCTCTTATCCCACCAATGGGATAAAAGGTGGTGTTCTCTTTACCAATCATGTTAAACCTGTAGTGTAAGACCTTATAAAAGCTGAAAAATTCGGGGAATAAAGGCCTTTCTTAGCAACTCGTTCTGCTGCGCACTGTGAATGAATCCACACTTCTACATCGTGTCCAACAGCGACACCTGGGTTCAAAGGGACCTTAACAATCATCCAGTTCTGACTGTCTGCCATGGGCAGGGACAACTTCCATGAGACCAGGCTGCTCAGATCTCCATTCTGCCTGGACTCAAATACTTCCAGGGACGGGGCAGCTTCTCCAAGCAACCTGTTCCAGGAGTCCTGTACCTGCACATGGCCATGTGCATCAGCTGACAAAGGACCCCAGGAAGTCGTGAGGAAAGAGCTGCTGCCCCAGCCATGCAAGCACTGGGATCAGGGGATATCTCTGTCCGTCTCTGATTGCTTTTGTATGAGCAATCACCTCAGCAGGTAATCCACCATTTCACAGATTAGCCCAATCTCCCTGTCAAGGACTCTGACTCACCTGTGGCCTTCAGAGAACCACTGACAGAGCTGCCATCACTTCCCACCTGGGCAGTGCGGTGTGATCCTGAGTCCAGAGGAGAACACTCCAGTGCCCCAGTGTCAGAGCTGTCCTCAAGTGGCTGTTTGGAACTGGAGCTTGGAGTAGAGTTCAGAGGCTCCTAAAGAGCCATTTTTAACTCTTTATTCCTTCTACTCAACCTCAAATTCACACAAGAATATGCTGCACCCAGTGATCACATGAATCTCCTCAGAGTTTTATTGCCTTGAGGAGCAGCCCCAGAGCTGAGGAACAGCTGCACTCAGGGGGCACCCTTGGTTGCCCAGAGAGTAGCCCCAGGGTATCTTCAGCCACCAGCATTCCTCAGAGAGTGGCTCTTGATGAGAATCCAGTTTCCTCAGCCCACCACCCAGCAGTTGCATGGCCTTTCAGGGGCACTACCTGGCCCAGAGCAGCAGAATCCTCAAGAGGGCCGTGGGAGAGAAAGATGAATGGGATCAGGACACTCCTCACCCCTCCTCCTCTCCAAACACACTGGGCTATGCTACAGCATCTGTTCAACACAGAAGCAGCTCATTGCTTTCCTTTGGAAACACTGCTTTGCCCTCCAGGGATCCATCCTCTCCCCAACCCATGACAAAATCTACTGAGCCCTCTGACAAACCCTTCCTGAAGTGAGGCAGCCTCACCCAAACCCCACAGCGCTTCCAGGCCAGAGCCATCTCCCACCAGTGTTGACTCTGTTTTCAGCTGCATTTTGAAATGGCTGCAGTAAGATGTTGGAGGACCCCAGATACTCCACCCCCAAAATGCAGAGTTTCCAAGGACTTTGAACCCTACACTGCCTCCTGGAATCATGGATAGCGCAAGCAGACCTGGGAGGAAAATAAACTAAAAGGTTCTGCCAAAAGAAACAGCAGGCACAGGCTCTGCAAACACAGAGAGTCTCCCGAAATAAGCAGCCATCCTGGCAAGACAGCGAAAGAGAACAAACCCCATATGCTGATTTCCTTCTCAGCATCCTATGGAAATCATGCCTGGTTAAAACCCCCTGGAGCCCGAGGAACCAGTTCCAAGATCACCGGAAGAATTCACCTGAAAGTACTGGACTTGCTGCTGAGAGCCCAGGCTGAGATTTTAAAATGTAGTGACAGAAGGAAGCCATGTGGAATATTTCTGTTCTGAAACTGTTTTCTGTTTCTCTTGAAAAGACAAAACTGGTCACTGGATTAAGCTGTTGAGTTCTGATCCTTCAGCTCCTGGTCCAGGTAGGTACATGAAGGAATATCCCTCTGATCCCTTAGTGACTTCTCTCTGCCAGATGCTGTAACTAACCCATCCTCAGAACAAAAGCTGACTTGAACATTGATAAACCAAGAAGGCAGCCACTTCCCAAACTAACTTGAATACATCCATGTTTTATTTGCTTAAATAAAGGTAGAATTTGTTTTTACAATTCCAGTTCTGTAGCAATAGCGACAACCGCAGCAGCACGAGTGGACATGGGGGAAGGGATGGCTGTTGGCACTGAACTTGCAACAGAATTCAAAAACCTGGCTCCTTTGGGAATTGTGCGTTTCATTTAAAGTAAGTTAAACAATTGAAATATATTATACTCTACCTTTTAAAAAAAATCCACACAAGCCTAATATAATAGGAGTTTTTTAATATCAAAAAAGTCAACGATCCAATGTCTGTTAGAAAAAAAAAGTGCTGTGTAACACGTGCACAACGAGGCTCTTGAGCTTTAGCTACCAGCATTGACACGCAGAGAGTGCTGCAAACAGCTGCACGTGTGCCTCCTGCACCGTGGCATGCTGAATCTGTGCCCTCTTCCACAGGAGGTGCCACTCCTCACACAGGAGATCCATGGGGAAGTGGCAGGTTCACCTGCAGGGAGCTCCCTCAGCAGCCCCCCCTGGCAGGGCCAGACAGCACACAGGGGCTTGAGTCCCTTCTGACCCTGAGTCCCTGTGCAAACCAGCTCCAGGGAATGAGGCTGTTCAGGGATGGAAACTGGAACCACAGGTCACAGAGCCTGGGACCTTGAAGGAAATATCAAGCAGCGCTAATGAAGAAAAATCTAGAGGCCTCAGGAGGTCAGACATAGTTAAATAAACAGTAACTATAACATCCTGTAGAAATCTCTTTCACCTACAGAGGCAGAACCTTCTCCTTAAGGGACCTGTTTTTCCAGAGACTGTAAGAGCTGTCTAGATTGCATTCACACCCCATGAATACAACTGTTCAGGCCTGTTTAGAAATTAGATCCTCCTAACTAAAGCATTAATACTCCAGTCCCTTCCACCCATGGTTGCCCTGCAGAGAAGGGTAAGATCTCCCTGGGTTACCCCAGGGGAAATGGGGGAATGCTCATGCTCTGCATGCTCAGAGACTGTGCTCTGATGGGGACAAGCCAGCAGCACAGGGCAGAGACTGCCGTGCTCTAAAGCACAGCTTAAGGGAGGGTTGTTTGATTTGAGCTACAAAATTTACCATCCAGCAGCTGATCACAGTGGGAATCACAGCTGGCAGCCAGCAGATACGTGCTCAGGGCAGGCTCCTACGTGCCTGTGGGCAGTCACAGCTTTGGCCAAAGGCTTGCACAGGAGGTTCAAATGGCAGAGACAGCAGTCAGCAAGCTCATCTCTGCTACACAGCCAGCCTGGACTAACACCTCACAGAGGGCAGGAGGTGGGAGCAAAGCCTGGCATCCCTTTTAGAATGTTCCTTGGGACCCCCATGCCCATTTTTCAGCCACCTTGGACAGAGAAAGTGGTGCAGCTTTCTCCCCACTGGATTGAACACAGCAGTCAGTTAACCAAGCAGACAACTGACCAGTCTGTCATAGGAATTACAGCTAAAACATCCTGGATTTCCCACGAAGGATCAAGGGCCAGGCCGATGGCATGGGCTAACTGTGCTCAGCAGCACTGTGCCTGACACCACAGGTGAATGGCTCCATGCTACAGCATTCAGATGGGAACATCCACTGAAGGCATGGCTCTGCCAGCTAGGGAGGCACAGTGGTCACTGGTGCCAGACAGCGAAAAGGTTTAACAGCTGACCACGCATGAGTCCTCCAACCGCCTGCACACCTAGGAGACAGCCCACCCTGCCATCTGGTCTGCTAGAGCACATCACCTGAACACAGTGATTAATTGTGACAGAAACCAGCTGAACTCCACATCTCCTGAGTAACCCTTTGACATGACCCAGTGAGCATCCACATTGGTGTTTTTCACCCAGGGCTTCAAGGCTGAGTTTCCACAAGAGACAAGGAAACATGTATTCAACAACAAGCAGACAGTCTCTCCAAATCTCCAAAAAATAACACACATACAAGACAAAGTTAGAGGTGAGGAAAACCAGACCAGAAATAAGCAGCTATGAAGAAACAATGCTGTCACAGGCCCGTCTCTTCTTCATATGTTGCTTCAGGTCAGAACTCTAACAATTCTCATCACAATTCAGCCTCGGGACACAATGCATTTATCCCAAACAACAGACACACATCCCAGCCACTCCAGTATTTGGTTTTCTCACAGTCACAAGGGACAGTCTTTATGACAGTTTTCGTTCAGTATGCTGAGTGGGATTTCCTTTGGCAGTATGGTCATGAGTGGGTCTAATATTTTTTTTTAGTTCAGGACTAAAATACTTCAGTGTCTAGGATGCTCTCAGCTTTGCTCTGCAGGCAGTTCTTGGTACAGAACAAATCCCTATTGTCTTTAGGGAATTTAAAGGACTTTAACTCAGCCCTTTAAACCTGCTAAAACAGGCAGAGATGGAAGTAAGACTACGCTCACATGCTCTGTTAACAGCTCCTTCCTGCAGATACATGCTCTGTGCCTGAAAACTCCAGGCAGGATTCAGATGGTGAGGCTGCAGCTCCCCAGTGAGCAAAGCACCTCTTGTCCTTGTGGCCACCCTCCTCAGAGTGCCCCAGGGCTGCCCAGGTGTGTTCTGATCCAGCTGCTGGCTCGAGTGCCGCTCCCAAAGCAGCAGCCACTCTCAACAACAGGAAGAGCCTGATTTGGAGCTGGAGTTCAGGTCAATGGTGTGGCCCAGCATGCAGTGTTCCATCTGCTCCTCCACTGCCAGCACCTGGCGCACAGCTTCCTCAAAGGCCACTGTTACATTGGTGTCATCCTTGGCACTAGTCTCCAGGTACGGATAGTTACCGTTTTCCATGCACCAGGCCTGGGCCTCCTCTGTGCTCACCTGTCTCTCCAGTTTGTCTATCTTGTTGCCCAGAACTACAAATGGGAAGTGTTCAGGGTTCTTCACATCAGCATAATAGATAAACTCCTTCTGCCAGTTACTGAGGTTCTCAAAGCTCTGCCGATCATCCACGCTGAAGGTCAGCAGGCAGCAGTCTGCTCCCCGGTAAAACGGCGTCCGCAGGCTCTTGAACCTCTCCTGTCCTGCAGTGTCCCAAATCTGGAGGGTCACAAACCGCCCGTCCACCTCCAGGTCCCGGTTTAAGAACTCCACCCCAATCGTGTGGAATGCCTGTGAGTCAAACTTGTTGGTGACGTACCGATTCATGAGGGAGCTCTTCCCAACTCCACCATCTCCAAGGAGAATGACCTTTAGGAGCAAGGATTTCCCACTCATTGCAGCAGGACGGAGGAGCAGGGTACCAAGGCAATCTGCAGGGTTCAGAAATAGTACAGAACAGACATTTGACTTGTGGGTTCTCCAGAAAGACGCACAGAGAACAGAATACGGTATCCCCATTTCTCAAGTTTTGTATGTAGGAGGAAATGTCTCTTTTTAGAGAGATCTTATTATCCTAATCTCTCTTATTAAAAAGTTAGAGCTGGGAACTGGACAAACTTTCAGGCACTGAAGTCCTCCATCAGGTCCAAAATGGATGCAGCACATGAACCCTTTAAGTGAAAGGTAAAAACAATTGTTCAGAGTTCAGTATCAATTACACCACTTTTGGTGAAAACTCTGTATCAGAAAGCTTGTCCAGTTTTTCCAAACACATCAGCACTACTTAAAACATCTCTCTGGGCCTGCATCCTGTGAGGCTATCACAGAAACAGCAAAATCACCAGGGGTGGCCGTCACCAGGCCTTTCTTTCCAGTGTGCCATCACCAGCTAAATAATTTCTCCTCTCTGACTTGCTCTACTGGAAGGATGTAATAGACGTGCAGGTCTAATATCAACACAAGTAATTTGTCAAGCCAGTTCTTAATCACCCTGAGGATGCTGACTCACCTTGCCAGCGGAGCTACGCGTGATCTCTGCTGCTCAGAAGGGGTTTCCCAGGCACAGGGACCAGCTGCTCTTTGCTGGCAACGCCTGTCACAGCCTAGTTTGCTCAGGCTCAGCTGCAAGTCCACATTACAACAACCCAGACACCACAGGTTCCTTAGTCAGCACCCTCAAGGCCAAGTGCCAATGCATCCTCCCCCTCCCACGGACACTCTGCTAAGGTAAAGGCCTGACATGGAATAAGAGGTTTGTTTGGCTGTTATACTGTACCTGCTCTGTCTCCAGGATTGTCCAGGAAACACCTTCCTCCAGTGTAACAGTTACTAAAAAACAAACATCAGTCATCAAGGTTATCAGAGCTGCCCTCATTGTCTTTCAGTTTGTGATGCTGATCAAGGATGGAAGGACAACAGAAGAGCTCTAGGAACCTGCATGTGCAGTACTGATGGCTGGAGTAAAACAGCAAGAACAAAACACTGAGGAGTTTCCCTTCCCCACAGCCCATTTCTGACCAGGGCAGAGTGAGTACAGTGTGCCTGCTGAACCCCAGGTAAGAACAGAACAAACTGAAGGAACTCTGACATGTTCACATATCACCTGTGCTGTACACCCTGTGTGAGCCTGGCTGTGCACCCTGTGTCTCCCCTCAATCCAGGGGAAGATATTAACTGTGATCTGTTTGTCCTACCTACTCACACACCCTGGAATCTGATTTGAGGATTGAACACGTACCTGAATCTACTAACGAGGAAAGTGAGCCAGCTGGTAACAGCAGACACAGAGCTTGCTTACACCTGCCACCAACACTCCTGGGAAGGGTGTGGATGAGTAGTGCTGCTTAGTGATGACATCTCCAACCCACTGAAGCAGGAGTGTGTGGCACTGCTCAGATCAGCACTCCTATTCCTTCCAGGCCAAACCCTGCTTTCTGTCTTAACCTCGGCGGGCCCTGATCAACCTCGATTCTGCTCTTTCTGCAGCCCTTTCAAACGGTGCTTACCACAAAGCCAAAAGCAGAAACTTCTGCTTTAAGTGAGTTTCTGCACTTTCTGCGCAAAAGGCTCACAAATTTCACTTCCCTGTACAGAAACATCTCCAACCAAGCACAGCAAAGCTAACCTGATGGGCTATTTGAGGAGCACTGTGTGACCCACTAGTTCTAAAGCAGCCCTAAACGCAAATGTCAGAAGAGACAAACAGGAACTAACTGCAGCACAGGTCCCCATGGCCCATGGCTTAGGGGAAATCCTGCCCCATGAGCAGGTGAGCTGTTCAAAACCCTTGTTCCTTTCCCAAACCTTCCTGAGGGATGTTTAAGCCAGTCATTGTCACCAAAGCTCCTCCTGGCACAGGCCATCAGCCCCGAGCAGAGTTTCTGTTTAGAAATGCTCTGTTAGCAAGTGACTCTTTTTTGAAATGACTAATAGGTTATGTCGGGCTGCTTCAGAGCCTGCAGGTCAGCACGCTGCCGGCAGCCGTGACACAGCCTTGACACCTCGACCCCGTTGCGAGCTATTCCAGAGGCTGAACCCCACTGAAGCAGGGCCGACCCGCTCCCGCAGGGCGCCAGCACCTGTGTGCAGGTACCAACAGCGGGGTGGGCACGCCGGGTCCAACTCCCCCCTTCTCCCCAGACCCCGGCTCGGCGGAAGCGATACCCTCCGGCGGGTCCCATCCCGCCCCACGGGAGCGGCCAGGGAGATGCCCGCAGCCGAGGAGCGGCACCCGCAAGGGACCCCCTCGACCCGGGCCGGGGTGAAGGGGCGGCTCTCCAGCTCCCCCCCACCGCGGGTGCCCCGACCAGGGGCGGCGGCGCCGGGCCCGCCCTTACCTCACCCTCACCGCCCTCCGGCCGCCGCCGCCGCCCGGCCCGCGGGGCGCAGGTGCCGCTCAGCCCCGCGCCTGCGCCGCGCACGCGCCTCCCGCCGGCCGGTAGGGCCCGCCCCGCAGCCCCTCACGGTCCGCCCGGCACTCCCCTCACGCTGCCCCGCATGTCCCCCTGTGGCTCCTTAGCCCCCTCACGCTCCTCCGTGTCCCCCCGTGTCTCTTCAGCCCCCTCACGCTCCCCCCGTGCTTCCTCAGGCCCCTCACGGTCCCGCGGTCACTCCCCTCACGCTCCTCCGCATGTCCCCCTGTGGCTCCTCAGCCCCCTCACGCTCCCCCCGTGCCTCCTCAGGCCCTTCACGGTCCCCCCTTACAGCCCCACCTGTGCCCCTTCGCTGCCCGCCCTGTCACTCCTCTATACCCCGTCCTCTTTAAAGAGGACATTAAAGTGTCTCCCTGTGCCCGCGGTCCCGCACTGCTCGCCCCTGGCACTCTCCTCAGTGCACAGTCCCGCCTGTGCCCACTCGCAGTCCCCTGTGTCACTCCTCACAGTCCCCGCATGTCCCCTGACCCCCACATGTCCCCTTAATGCCAGTCCCTGTCTCTCCCCGATCTCCTGTCTCCTCATGTCACATCGCAGCCCCTCACTGCCCCTCCCTGTCATTCCCCTCACAGTCCCCCCTGTGGCCCCTCACTGCCTGCCCCTGTCACTCCTCTCACAGTCCCCCCATCCTCACTTTGTCACTTCAGTGACAGCTGCCTGAAAGAGCAAGACTTCCCCCACCCTCACAACTGGCAGTGGGACTAGGAGTGAGAACATCTTTAAGGAGGTTTTCGGGGAAGAACAGCTAATATTAACATTACAGAGAGTTGAAGGGGAAAATTGTGGTAAGGTCACACCAGCCTTGCCCAGACAGAGCAGCGGGAGGGGGGAACCAGACCCCCAGGTGGCTGCAGAGGGGTTTTAGGGAGCAGATTGTGTGATCCCCTGTGGCTGGCAGCATCAACTCTTCTTCCTAATAGTGCCTGGTGATCGCTGGGAGACACCTTTGAAACTTGGGGACACATCTCACTGGGGCTGCAACATGCCTTTGACACCTTCTCCAGGGAGGGAAGAACAGAAACCCCTGGTACGGACATCTGGAGCTTTCAGCCATCTGGATCCTGCATCAGCTCCAGGGCTGAATGGGTGCCACAAAAGTGCATCAATTCCCTTCTGCCCCCGGGAAAGCATGAGAAGGGAGGAGGATTTAAATTAAGCCAGGGATTATATTAATACTGGCCTCAGTGATCTGTCAGAAGAGATGGGGAACAAGGGGAGCCTAGCGGGGTGAGGAGCAGCTAGGCAGCACAAGGGCCCAAGGTTGAGGCTGTTGGCAGTAGGGGACCAGGGCAGCCTGGGGAAAATGTGGGAGCTCCAGGGGTGTGTATTTCGGGCACCACTGTACACAGCAGCCCCAGGGCAGAAGCGCAGGATGCTGCTGGTACCAGTGAAAGATGCAGTCTGCCCCACCCACTGGGAGATCCCTCCAAACCAGTCCAGATCCCCATGCCAGCTCTGTCAGGACCATGCATTGCTGGAGTGAGCCTCTGAGCATGGCACACTTGCCCCTAACAAGTTCCCTTTGCCTGGCAGACACTCAGTCCTGTTATTTTCCAGTATTTATTAATTAGTGATCTGATTTAGCATGTAAGGGGCGAGCCCTGATCCTGAACAAGAAAGAGCCACCACAACAGATCCTGCCAAGGCAACTGAAGCGTGGTGCTCTGCTGCAGCACTGTGCTATGCTCTGCCTTCCTGCAGCACCTCTGTCAGGCCTGGCAGCCACCTAATCCTCAGGGGATGCAGCCTGCAGGGTTTAGGGAGGGCAGCACATCCCTGCAGCTCAGCCAAAGACACCACATGGCCAGTGACCCCAGCTGACCGTGTTCATGCTCTAGGGGCCCCTGTGTACCTCCAGGGTAATCCGTGGGTGCTGGCAGCTGTTGGAGTCGCTTGCTCAAATGAGCAGGGATATGCCTGGTCTGGTTTGGCTCCCAGTGGCTGTGCAGTCTGGTTGTCTTGCTGACTTTTTGGCATCCGTGGTGGACACCAGTTACCCACCAAGCTGCTCTAGCACTCCTTTCCTCAGCAGGATAAGGCGGGGAGAAGGTAAGATGGAAAAGAACTTGTGTGTCAAGATAAAGGAAGATTAATAAAGCAAAAGCAAAAGCTGCATGCAGAAGCTGTGGAAAGCAAAGGATTTATTCTCTACTTCTCATCAGCAGGTGATGTCCAGCTGCTTTCTAGAAAGTAGGGCTTAAGCTCTTACAGTGGTTGCTCTGAAAGATGGTTGTCTTCTTGTGTCTACAGCAATTATATTGATAGCCTTCTTGGGATTTCCTCCTCTTAACAGCTCTCTTCCCTCTCACGTCTCATGCATGGGCTTTCTTCTTAAAGCTGGGTTCACCATCCTACTGCTTGTTGTCCTCCCCTGCTCAGGTGAGAAGAAACAGAGTACACCACATGCATCTGGGGCTCACTCTCCCTCTGACCATGACAGGAGGGGACTGACTTCTTGGAGTGCTCCTGACAGCCAAGACAATGGCTTATAGGGATGAGGAGGGACAGATAATTCATCAAAGTTCTGGAACCAAGAAAATGTTTTCTTCACAGCTGATGTTTTCATATCTGGACAATACATTGCTGCCAGACTACCAGAATGACACTGGGGCACTCTGAATCACGTTCCTCCACACAGCCTGTGTGCACAGAACACCCTCTGGATCTTTGGAGACATCATCATTGTCTAGATCACTGTAGATAACCTCCAGCACAACTTAATTCTCTCAGGTGCTGGATGTCTTCACCTGTGCTGGTCCACTTTCCTTAGTTCACAAGGTCTTCCCTGAATAGATATCTTGCCCTCACACTTGAGAGGAGCTGCCTGCAGAGACTGTAAATTGCTGCCACAAACCACCAGCTGTTAATTAGCACTTTTAAACAGCCCATGTAAGGGTAAGCAAGGACCTCATGAGCCTTCACCATAAAGTCACCCACATCAATCCTGGGTAAGGAGAGGGAGATGTATTCCCTGATCCTCTCCGCAAGGCAGCTCCCACAGCAGAGCAAGGCCGTCATTGCCAGGGCAAAGCACAGAGCCATGGTTTGTACTAACATGTTCCCAAAGCCCAGCAAAGTAAAGAGATAAGACATGCAGCCAACAAGCACTGTGACCCAACAGGAGCTGCCTACTTAGTAACTACTATGACTAAAGCACACTTAGCACAAGTTAAGGAATGGGCTTATCTGGGCATGACCTTGTGCTGGTGGGAACCTTCTGGGAGCAGCACTGCCCTGGCCCCATGGGCAGGATGGGACCTTGCCTGTGATTCCTGGGCACCAGTGGGATTTGTCTGGAGATGGGGACATGGCCCAGGAGCCATGTGCTGGGTGAGCAATGCCAGGGCTGCGGGGGCTGCACTGGGGCAGGGACTCTACAGGGCGCAGGGCTGCTTCAGATTGGGAGGTTTTACTCCCCTGGCTCAGCTGCATCCCTGCAGAGAGGCTGCAGCACGTGTGCGGCTGCTTGGCTCTCACTGCTAGCTCTGGGAGTTAGGGCAAACAACAGGAAGCTGGTGCCAAGGTGAGGAGCCCTGATCCAGCTTGGACCCCCTGCTGGCCTGTGGTCACACAATGCTGCCAGCTCATGCCCCCATTAATTCACCACACGTCCCGTGCTGCAGCTGGGGCTTGGGCCTCTGCCTTTGTTCCAGCCCCGGTGCACGGCTCTGCAGCTGCTTCTCCAAGGCGTGTGCCCGGCAGCAGCTCCAGCCCGTGGCGTCTGCTCTGAAACACTTCCCAGCACAGGAACCTCCTGAGCAGTCCTGCCACCCCTAGCCTTGGCCACTCCCTTTTACCCTGAGCCTACAGTTCTGAGCAGGTTGCCAGGTACCCCATCATCCATTTACCTCCCCAGGAAAGAGCTCCATAGGTGGAGCAAGATGGGGAAGACTCCATCATTCATCCCCCTCTACCCCACACAGCTCAACCTGCCCTAAGGAAGTGACCTGGGTTGTTTTTGTGAGCTGGTCTGAGGCAGCAGGGAGGAGGACATGCCTGGGCTGCAGAGCTGCCTCTCAGACATAACACTGCAGGCAGGGGCTTGTCCCAGCTTCAGTGCAACCACAGGCCTGGCAGTGGCTGAGCCACACACCACTGCCCTCACCTCCCCGCTCATCCCCAGCTCTTCCCCAGAACCCCTTGGCTGTTTTTTAGGGACATGTTAAATGACAAGGTGGCAGAGCAGGTAGCACCATAGGAGGCAGCACCAGACATAGTTTTACCCTGATGTAAGTGCACAGACAGGATGGTCCTTCAGGAGACAGCACAAGGCATCTGTTGCAACATGCTTATCTGCTGCCCATGGCTCCGGAGCTGGTTCCTGGAAAACCACAGAGGAGTCTGTCAGGCACTGGCTCAGAGCCGGGCAGAGGGGAGCTCAGCCGGTGCTGCCACAGACTCTGCTCTGGGACCTCACAGAAAAGGCACATGGCAGCAGGGCAGAAGAAGGGGACAGGACCTGGACAGGGGGATGGAGAGAAGCTGCTCCTGTTGCAGCTCTGGAGGTGCCTCTGCCCTGCTTGAAGGTGATTCAGGGAGAAAGTGGCAAAAGATTGAATTCCCAAGCTGACCCTGCACCTCACCCACTGTGCCAAGCTGGTACCCTGCATCATGCTGTGCCCAACCTGGCCCCAGGTTCCCCGTGGGCAGCAGGAGATTCCCATACAAGTTCTTCCAGGCAGGTTTGGGGCTGTGATATCACAGGGTGCCACCAGCACTGGCAGTGGGGCACACAGGCTTGGGGACAGCAGTATCCAAGAAGAGGACACTGATCTCTGCCCTGTCCAGGCTGAGTGAGTTGACAATTCCTTATCCACCATGGAAAGGTTTTGATTTTGTTTTTCCACCCCTCACATTATGAAGGTGCATGAGCAGTCTCAGGTACCCCTGGTAAACTTCTGTCAGCTGTGCCACGACTTGGGCATTGGGTGCATCCCTGCTGCCATCACTGCCATGGGTTTGAGCCCCCACCTTATTTTCCCCTCCATTTCCTGGGATGTCATACCCCAGCTGTTGCCTGTGGAGAGGAATAAATCATGGAGAGGGGGATATGCATTGGGAAGAGGGGAACAAAATGGCTTTTCATGCCATAATCCTTTGTAATAAAACACCAGAGGCAAGAAAGATGATAAACAATGTCTCCTGTGTGAGCCAGCTGCTTCCTAAAATAAAGCGCTCCTCTGCTCCGTCAGCTGCCCCGGCTGGGGTGCAAGTGCGGGCGCTGCCGCAGACACCGGAGCCGCGTTCCCGCAGGAGCACATGCTGCCGCAGCTCCGGGCACGGCCCCTCAGCCCCGCGGGAATCTGCAGAATGCAGCGGGGGGAGCCAGAAGCGAGCGCTGAGCTCCGCCGTCAGGAGCCGGCTGGAGCCCCCCGAAGGGCTCAGCATCCCCGGCGCCAGCAGCCCCCGTGTGCCCGGCCCAGGCACGCAGCCAGGCTGCTCCCACCTGCGCCAAGCAAGTGCGGGCAGCGCGGGGCTCCAGGGCCGCTCCGTGCCTGACTTCCCGGCTTTGTTTAGAGCCAGGTGCTGGCAGGAGCCCGGTCCTGAGCAGGAAGCTCTGCGTGCTCCCGGTTCATCGCTGCTCGTGCTGAGCCCTCCTTGGCAGAGGATGAGTAAGCTCCTGCCGGTAAACCTGACCTCCAGGGCATAATTTCAAGAGCAACAATAACTTTTGCACTGCTGGGGAAGGTGTTGGGTTGTGCTGAATGTGTGAAGCCCACAGGCCAGTTTCCTAGCACAGGTGTCCAAGGGTTTCTGTTTCACCCTGTGGATGCTTTTGTGGGTGCAAAGGGACAGTGGCTTTCCCTCCCCATGGTTGTGGGTGTTCTTTAGCACAGTTCTCCTTCCCACCACTTGTCCACCAGCTTGTCCATCCATCCTTCCCCTGTCACTAAGTGGCCCCATCACACACAACTCTCGCACACCATGGTGGCCTACTATCAACTCTTTTGCCAAAGGACTGTGGCCACTAGCCCACACAACATTTTCATTTCTCCACTATTGCTCCTTCTCTTCTTTCTTCCTCTTTTACAGCCACATCTTTCCTCTTTAACTATCCCCATATACAGATAGATCCCCCCCAAACACTCCCAGCAGAGGTTTTCCCTGGCAGCTCATGCTTGCTGCCCTTGGCTTCCCCTCTCAACCTCAGCCACCATGGGGTGGTTTGAGCTCTGTGCTTTGCAACATGTCTGTGCAGACAGCAGAGACCTGGCAGGAAAAGGCCAACCCAAGTGGCACAGAGGAGGTGGCATGTTTTCCCCAGGGATGCAGGGAATAGGTAGGTGGGAGTGGGCATGACCCACGCGTTGGGGAGCTGCATCATTCACCTGTCTGTGCAGCCTAGCTTCACCTTATCCTGTTTGCTCTGGTGCCAAACACACACCTGTTAAAGGTTTTTTTGAACCATCCAGAGTTCAGGTTGAGGCTGGCAATTTTCTTCCATCCAGGAGCTGCCTTAGGCCTTGATCACTGACACCTCTTGGCTCTCACCATTTTCTGCTGCAGTTCTGGGAGCTGCCAGACTGTGAGTGTAAGAGGGAAAAGCCTGGCTGCCAGAGCGCAAAAGCCTCCCTAGCCCCAGGTGAATTGTGCTACAAACCAGTGTGGTGCTGTGGGACATGAGGAAGTTGCCACAGACTGGCAGGGAGCCGTGGGGCACAAGGGAGCTCAGTCCAGGGCCATGCACAGGCTGGCTCAGGCACCTCCTGCCAGAGATGGGGTTAGGATCCTCCACATGTGTGTGTTGGGCCAAATCCTCTCCTGAGTCAGAGGGGATGGAGCAGTGGCACGGGCAGACACCCATCCCAGCCACAAACCCTGATCTGAATTCACCTTTTGCTGCTGGTCACCAGGTATTTACCCAAATTCCTCCTGATGGTGACTCAGCCTTCTCCTCCTCTGCAGTGAGGCCACAGCTCACCATCTCATTGAGCATGGGAGGAAACCGCCCAGAAACAGCAGGATGGGCCTCAGCATGGATTATATTCTCCTGACATTGCCAAGAGGGGCTGACATGAGTAACTCACCTGGTGCCCAGCGAGGGAAGGGTCATAGAGCCCTGCCAGGAAGGCCCAGCTCCTGGAATGGCATCCTCTGTGCATGGGGGCCTGCTGGGGCAGCTCATGCTGCTCAAGACACCACATTTCTAGGGGACATCAGTCTGGCAGGTGTCCTGGCTTCCCACATGCCTGGCAGCTGTGGGCCCACACGTGCCAGGGTGAAAAGGTTAAGGTCTGGGATAGGGAGGGAAAGTGCTGATATAAAAGGCTTTTCTCTAATGGTTCTCCCCTTACTGGCTCAAACTCTGCTGGCAATAGGGTAATTTTGGACACTGGTTAGCAAAATAGGTAGCTCTTTACCCTCAGTCTTGAGGATAGGGCATTTAGGTGTGTAGATAGGGCATTTAGGCAATGTGTTTTGGTACTTTCTGTGCACCATTCTGGCAGGGATGTGGCTGGAAGAAGTGCCTGGACTGCCCTCATTTAAGGTGTGCACAGGACATTGGCCATAAAACACATGGAGATGTGTTTGCTGGGGAGCTGCTGCCAGCTGCAGCTGATGTTCCTGTGTCTGGGCTGGGACTGCCAGCCCCTGGGGTAGCTTCCTTGGGGCACAGACCTGGCTGTGCCAGCACTTAACCCCTTGTCTAAATCTGTATTGCTACATGCCTGGCTTGGCTACAGTGAAAAAGCAACCCAAACCCAGATGCATCAACACATCTACAGCTCCCCAGGATGAGGGTTCCACAGGCTGCTTCCACAGACTCAGGGTCAATGCTGGAGTGCCACCAGCTTCTGGCACCAGCCATCCTGTCACGTGGAGCAACCCACAGCCCTGGCCGGCAAACCAGCTGTGTCTGTAGGATTGGGGTGTCCAGCACCCCTGGCAGGCTCTGCTGCCCTTGTGCACAGCACAGGGTGAGGGGGAAGTTATTGTTAGCACAGCGGTGCCAGGGAGGGGACACTCCTGCTGTGGCCTTGCAGATGTCCATGTGACTGAGGGAGAGATAAGTACCCTGCTGCTTTACCCTGGTGCTTTTCCATGCCCGCAGAGGGACCTGTTGCAGCATGCAGCAGGGAGAGGCACAGGGCGGTGTCAGGAGCAGCCAAGGTGCTGTGGGCAGCCACTGAGACCTCCCTAACCCAAAAAGCAGCACTGAGGAGGGGAGATGAGCACTGCTACTTTGTGTTTCCATCACAAAATCTTCACTTGGTTCAACTCAACCTCTGGCCCTCAGGGATGAGGAAAGGGTTCAGGTTGGCCTTACCTGCCTGCCCCTGCACCATGAGAAAAACCACCTCTGAGCAGGGACACATTGTCATCCTGACAAACCACCCTAGCTGATGGCACTGGGAGATGATTCCCACATGTAGGATAGGGTTCTGTCCTGGGGACATCAGGGTGCTGAAGGAGGACAGCCACCCTAGTATGTGCTGGGTTTCCCAGTGCTCAGCCCAATGTAGCAGCAGCCCCAGCTGGGCCTCTGCATTGCTTCCCACTGCCCTCACCCCATGGAAAACCCCACATGCTGCCCTGACAGCACACAAACACCAAACTCTTACCTGCAGCTCTTTCAATTCTGCTTTTTAAGGGGTGGAGGCAGTGGCAACCACACAGGCAGTGTTATTTGCAGTCCTTGGCAGGCAATGTGGGTGGAGGCACCAGGCAGATAGGCACCATGTCCAGACAGGCGCAATTGCCCCGTGTTTGTCCCCAGCTGACCAGGCTCATTAGGAGCACTGACTAAAACTGTTAGCTGGCAAGTTTTGGCTGGTCTGCCTCCACCTCCTTCATAAGTGGCCTGGTGCGTTCACTGACCCTGCAGGCCAGGTGGAGGTGAGGAAGTCCTGGCCATAGCCAGGAAGCCTCAGTATAAACCTGGAGGCATAGTCAGAGCTTACCCACACTGTGCTGGCAGCCAGCTGCAGGACCCAGGGATCTCCACCCCTGCAAGGCAGGGCTGGGATCAGCCCAGAGAGTACCAAGGGATCTACTGCATTCAAACCCTTAAAAAGTCCTTACAGGGCTGCAAAAACCACCTTCAGTCAAGGGTGGAGGTTGGCTCAAGGGGAACAGAAGGGCAGTGCCACGCAGTGACGGGAGAACTGTGCTCCAAGAACTGGGTGGGCAGAGCTGGCCTAGCCACCACACCAGCAGGACCCAGGCCAGCAATGTCCACTGCCAGCACCTCCAGCCATGCTGACAAGGCATCAGCCCAGCTCCACAAGGTTTTAGGCAAGGGACACCAAATTTTCCAAGGCAGGAGGCTCAGCCCTCACATAGGCAGCAAGACCCAGGTTAGCATCTGCTTCTAAATGCACAAAGAAACCAAAATGGTGGTGGAGCACAGTGGCCACGGTCATGCCAGCAATGCTCTCTCCCAGCTCCCCCAGGAACCAATCCCCAAGCAAACACCAAGCTGGATTCACCCTGCAGGGAACCATCCCACATCTCCCTCTGAGCAACACTGAACTACCAGCACTGCTGCAGCACCAGGCAGAGACCTTCCCACCCTCCAGGGCAAGCCAAGCTACAGCCAGAACCTTTGTCAGGGAAGAAGCCACGAGCCATAGGTAGATCATTACAATTTTTTATTTTATAATAAACTTCTTATTTTTCCCCAAGGAAGACAAAAAACTGTGAGTGAGGCTACAGAACACTGTCAGTGAAGAAATATGCAAGACAGACCCAGGCCGGAGGTGAGGCCAGAAAGGTTCCCCACTCCCCCAGGCAGAAGGGGTCAATGCCCAGAAGCCTCCATGGCCCTTGCTCATCTTCCCACTGCATCAGAGCAAGATCAGTGCTGTCACAGGAGGCAGCTGAGCAGCAGAGATGGCATCAGGTCAGGCTACTGATGGACTGAGAGGACCACACTTTGTCCCCCCACCTGCCAAAGCTGCCAGCAAAGTGGGACAGTGTGTTAGGTGATACAGCTGTTTTCTATACATGTATGTGATGTAAATTTAAAAAAACCCACATGATTCATTTCAAAGCAAAATAATTGAGTAGTTGCTCCTCCTGCCAGGCAATCTCTCTCTAGGAAGACTTCACACATTCCTTCTCCTGCTCAATAGCTGCAAGAGAATAGAGGCCCATTAGTCTCTAGTGCTTCTTTTTTGTAGAAGCACACACTGGAGAAGGGTTTCAGAGGACTCACTCAGGCCCTGGTGGCCAATTTTGTGGTTTAGTCACAAGTGGGGTGGTTTAACAGTCAAGTTAGAAGATGACAAGCCACACGTATGCGTGGCAGCAAATCGGGCACCTGTCTGTGTCTGTCCGCAGGAAAGTGATGCCCTGAGGAATCAGTTTAGCTCAACAGCCCTCTCTGAGTGCCCATGCCCGCTGCCCCGGGCTGGACACACCTCTGCCCGTGGCTTTCCCCGGGCCAGAGCGCTGCCGCCCCAAACCGCCCCTCTTCCCCTGATGCCTCGGCAGTGAGACCGGCCCCCGAGGGCACTGCCCCACCGCACGTGCCTCCCGCCTCGCCAGCCCCCGGCCCCGCACTCACTCTCCTTGGAGGGCAGCGTGTTCTTCTCCTCCGTGTTGGTTTTCTTCAGCTTCTTCTTGTCGAATTTCTCCACCTCCGAGAGGTCTGGTTTGTCGCACATTTTGCCTGCGAGACCCCCGCCGCAGTCAGCCGAGGGATGGGGACGGGAAGACAAAGGCGGCCCCGGCCCCCCCCCGGCCCCCGCCGCGGACAATAGCGCAGGGCGGGGCGCGCCGCCGCCCCGGGCACCGCGCCGCTCCCCGGGCCCGGGCAGCCGTGCGGGGCGGCCCCCGGAGCCCGCACACGCCGGGGGAGCCCCCCTCGCAGCAGGCAGCCACGTCCCCCCGGGACCCGCCGCACCCGCAGCCCCCGCCCTGGGGCGCCTGGGCGAGTCCCTCCTCGCAGCAGCGCTGCGCGGGGTCCCCCTCCGCGGCCCAGCCCGTACCTGCGGCACTGTACGGTGCGATGTGCGGTGGATAAGAGGTGCGGTTGGTGCCGGTACCGATACCGATCCCACTCCTCGCGCGTCCAGGTGAGTCTGGAGCGCGCGCCGCGCGGGGCGGAGCCTTTTATACCCCGGCCGCCGCCCAGCCCGAGCGCCCATTGGCTGCCCGCCCGCCGGGAAGCGCGTGGCCCGCCAGGGGGCGGCCGTTCCTGCCGTGCCGCGCGACGGGGGCGCGAGCGGGACCGAGCGTGAGGGGCGTGAGGGAGACGGGGAGGGAGGGGGCAGCGAGAGAGGGGACTCGGAATGAGGGGGGCAGCGGGGACGGGGACACGGCTCACACACCCTCTCACAACACACACGGACGGGCGTCGCGCAGCTCCTGCTGTCCCCACAGACAGGTATGGTTCCGACTGCCCCTCCTATGCACACACGCACCCGGGTGCCAGCTGTGAGGGGCAGCAGGCTTGTCCCCATGAGACCAGATGACTCCAAAGCCACTGAACCCCGACCAGAGCAAGGGAGGCAGTTGTGGCCTGTGTGTGTGTGTCCAGGGATGCTCCCACTGCTGAGGCAGAACTTGAAATAAAGCAAGCCTTGGGCTAAACCCAGCACCTTATTCTCACACCTGTGAGAGACACTTGGCCACTGCCCAGCTCGTGTCTACACTGTCTTTGGCCACAGCACTTTCTGGGGAGATCTGGTCACTAAAGAAGCAGCATGGGTGGACAAGAAGCTGGTCATACAGGTTCTTGCTTGGCTGAAACAAGCCTGGGGAGCAGCACAAACTGTGCAGGTGGGCTGGTGTGCAAGTGGAAGAGACACCTTTGGTGGGAAAAAGCCGAAGGGCAGTACAGGCAGCCTATCTGATCCCAGCAGGAAGGATAGTGGCAGTCTGGGGGGCACTTGCATGCTGGCCCCTAGGATAGAGAGGGGCTAGAGGACCAGGAGGATCCTACAGGTGCTGAAAAGAATGAGAAGGGGAGGAGGCAAAAGAAAAAGTATCCTGACAGCAGATAAGGCTTGCCAAAACCTTTCTGCAGAGATCTTGGTGCCATGGTGAACAGGAACCTGTTACAGAGCACCAAAGGGTGGCAGCTGTACTGCAGCAGCTCTCACCTCCACCTCCTCCTGGCCTGCCAGCCTCTGGGTTTTGCTCAGGGCTTATTGGAGATTTTGCAGAGAAAATCCCCAGCAATCCGGAGGGAACACTTGCTTTGTGTTCTTTAGCAAGACGACTGCCGTCTTGGCAGGAGGGACTGGTGCTATCCAGCGACAGCAGGTCATGGCCGGAGGTGGCCCTGTGCCTCAAGCCCTGAGGCACCTTCTCGCTCCAGCCAGAATATGGGCTGTGAATTCAACAAGCACCAAGAGCTGGCAAATGCTGAAAAGGCCTGAGGCCAAGATCTAAGGCCAGCTTGCTCCTATGAGAGGAGTCTGGATGGCAAACAGCCTCCTGTGCCTGGGGGGAGGGAGAGGCTGCAGGCAAAGTCCAGGCCAGGCTGCTCCCAGAGCAGCTCTGATTTGGTTGTGTGGCCCCGGCAGGGCCAGGTTTGGAGAGTGCCACAGAGCCAGGAGCTGCAAGCCCAGGCAGGGCGGCCTTTGTGCGCATCTTTCAAACCCACCCTGCAGAGCCTGCATCATCACACAGCCCAGCCTCAGTGAGAAAAGGTTCATCTTTCCTGCACAGCCAACGAGAACCAAAACATCCATTCAGTTTCAAAATGAACGCAGGAAATCGTTTTTGCCTTCATGCAAATAGACAAGTGTTTTACCATGTGTTTACTCTCTGGCTGTACACACCTTCCCCTCAGCTTCCCCCTTTGCTTGCCTGTTCTCCACACGCTTCTCCTTTGTGGATGCTGCAGTCTGACGTAGCTTTTGTCCCTGGCAGGCAGTGAGTGCGAAAGAACCTGATCCCCACCCTGCCTGTGCACAGCCCCTTGCCAGCACCAGCTGTCCCCAAAAGCCTGCTCACCATCATCCCAGCTCCTCAGCAGACCAGCTGTGCCCGCCACTGGCAAGGCACAGCCCCTGGGCTGATGCTGCAGCACTTTGTAACCCCCGGGTCTTTGTCTGGGCACAAAGCCACCACGGTGGCCACGCAGGCAACGGAAGGGGAGCTCCCCCTTCCTCAAGCCACAGGCACCATCACACTCGTACAAACCGCGGCCAGAGCAGCTTTAAAGCCAACCCTGTGAACTGCCAGCAGGGGAGAGGTGGGGCTGCTGCTGGGGAGCTGCTAAAACCCATCTTGCACAAAGAACAAGAAAGGAGCTTATATCCCAGCAAGAGCTTTTCCCCCTGACAAATTAGCAAAGCCTCCCATAACTGCACAACCAGCTTCTTTCTTACGTCTTTTGGCATTTCTGCTTTCAATAATTTATAATAAAAGAACTGAGACATCAACAGATAGGGAGAAAGCAAAAACAGCCCTGACCTGAAATAGCACAGACTGACTGCCAGCCATTTTAGAGGGGTTTTAAATCTTACTCGGAACACGGCTGCCAGGGCTGATACAGCCTCTCTGATAGCCATTTCCAGGAATGCCTTATTCTCCTGTACAGGAAAGAGGCAGGAAGCTTTCTCTGACCAGGGGTTTTTCTCAGCCTCCTGACCCATCTGCCTGCAGGCACCACCATGACAGCTGCCAGGCTGAGCCACTCCACGGGGTGACAGCACTTTCTCCCGTTTTCACCCCAGCCTCCTGCCACAACCTTCATGTCAATCAGGGCAGAAGCAGACAGTCCCAGGAAGGCAGCCCCACACTGGGGCTGCTGTGTCTTACAGGACAGCTCATTCCTCCTGTGGATGTTGCTGCAGTTTGCAGAAGGGCTTGCTAACACCATTTTCCCCTTGCCTGACAGCACCAAGACAAGGTACTGCTTTCTTTAGATGACAGAAACACCAACTCCAAGAGACCTCCTTACATGAGTAAGGCAGGAAGGAGGTGCCAGCAAATTATTTTGAGGTGTGTCTTATTGTGCTTTAAACAGCAGACACATCCTGCTGTGTCCTGCACACCTGGGTAAGCTCAGCTCCCACCCTTTGCATTAGTTTCAGGTACCCAGGCAGGTGATTGATGTGTTCCTTGTTCCTGTGAATTAACAGCAGACAGGCAGGAGATGGCTCCTGGCACCAATACCAGCATCCTCACACCTGCAGCCACACTCTGGCTGTGCCTGTGGCAAAGGGAGCTGCTGGAGTCCTATCCCCTGCTCCTCCAGACCTCCAACTGCAGGGGCACAGCAAATGACACAGTTGAGATTTTCTCCTGGAAAATAACTTGTTTTGCACAGTAGTAACTCAGGCAGCTGTGAGGAAAGGCCTAATACACCCCACAACTCACCTTCAGATTTTGGTGAAATCTCCATCCCTTCTGAAGTTTTCAGAGCAATGTTACTACTCAGGTATGAGAACTGTCCCAACGAAGTATCTCCCATTCTTTTTAAGAGATACAATGTCTGTGCATTTAAGCATTGCAATTCAAGCATTAAGCAATTGCACCGTATTAAGTCTGTGCCCTCTCCCATCTTGAAACCCTGGTTTTATTAAAGTAACATTATATAATCACTAATAGCAATGGTCTCCAGCTGTACATATTGCTGTAACACTCTTTTTTTTATCAAAGAAAGGTGAAATCTGCTACATAATCGTGACAAGACCCACAGCACCCACCCTGCTATCTGCAGGGGAAAAAAACCAACTTTTTTCATTTATTCACTGGCCAGTACTGCAAGACATTTTAACAAATGGATGACAATTGTGATCCTGTCTGCCTGAGGCCATGGCCATGCTCAGTCTAGGCCTGGAAGTCTATTTGTAATGCCAAGGACCTTTCTCTAGGCCTGCCAATCTCATGCTTCTGACTTCATTTATACTTTCCCATCTGCAACACACAATGAGAAACGATCAGGCTTTAGTCAGAACAAGTGTTCCTCAGGACATGATCCTACTGTCTCTGATGATCAGCTTTGTGTGAGACACAAATTCTTCATTTGTACTTGTTAAAATATTCAAGCTTCCCCCACCTGAACATTATGTGAACAAATCTGCTCAGATACATAATTGAACAGTACTAGAGAAGCCACACTAACACCTCTAACAATTAAGTCCAGGAAATCAAACATGGACAAAAGCAATTGCTCAGTGCTTGGTCCCATGCTTCTCCTTCCATGCAATGTGAGCAGTGCCGAGGTTCAGCTGGGCCACATGCACAGGTGTTAAACCAGATGACCTTCCAAGGTCCCCTCTAAATAAAATCACTTCATGATCTGCCCTTAAAATGACCCAACTCAGAAGCTTCATGTCACTTAAGATATTTAGAAGCATTACAGGCAGAGGCTGTGGTTTTTAAATAAAAGTTTAATTCCTTCATCAGGTCTTAACTTTAAACACAAATGCTGCTGAAAATCCTCCCAGCGCTGCTCTGATGTCCTGGCTTTTGGCTCTCAGAGCAGCAGCAGGATTGCAGCAGGAGGTGGGATCACAGACTCTCAGGAGAGCTCAGTGCAGGGTGCAAAGCAAAGAAGCAAGAGATGCACAGTTTCCAGACAAACACCAATTCTTATACAAAAAGAAATGCTCTACACTAATAGAAGTATTAATGTTGCCACAGGACAGGAGTTTAGGAAGGGAGAGAAGTCTTCGGTAAAAGGCACAACTAAAGAAGTACTTCCTTAGATTTTAACCACATCTTTCAGTTAGTTTCACTTATACCCCAGCCCCCAGCCTCTTAAAGCCATGCTTGGTTACTCTAGAAAGTAATTTCAAGTTCCTTCTTTTCCCTTTTTCCCTTCCTCCAGCTCAAAAAAAATAAAAGAGGAGTGCTTATAAAAAAAAATAAATCAAAAACCCAACCAAAAACAAACAAAAAAAACCCCACCAAAACAAAACCAGAATAAAACAATTTGGTCTATCAACCGTAAGAGTTCAAGAGAGACTTAGCAGTTTACCTTACGATTGTCTGGTACATTTTTTAAGTATTCAAGTTTCAGATGATACTTACTACATCCAAGAGCCTCAGCGAGCTCTGGTTTTGGTATTTCTCTTTCAGGCACTTTGTGGCCTGTTAGGTTGGTGTTAAATCTGCAGTTTTCCCAGCATTATGTATCACCAGCTTT